TCCAAAGGTAAGAAACACATTTTCTTTTGTAAATATTTTTTACCCAAAGCGGCTCAATAACACGCACTCTTGTAAACAATTACCAACAATTATTCACCATAGCAAAACAAAAAGTTTGTAATAGTCAGTGACGCTTCCTCGCTTTAACAAGCAGCAATTTGAGGATATTTTTCTATAGAAGAAAACAGGAAGGAATACATATTTCGGAACATCTGAGATTTTACGATTTCTTCCGTTCAGCTCACAAGACGTGTTCATTGTTCACATCCGACATGCTTTCAAAAACTTACCACCTACAGCTACATTAAATTATTTATCGTGTGAAAAACGTTGAATCGTTTTATTTATTTATGATCTTCCCTATTTGCGCAAATGCTTAAATAAAATTATACACTGGAAGGGATGCTGTTACCTTCTTGCCTAGCAACGGAGATTTAAATATACCTTCGACCGAAAATAATTTAATAATGAGGTTAATATTCCGCAAACAACAGAAAACGAGTCTAAATCGTATACCAATTACCAAGAATATCCACTGTAATACGAGGTATATTACTGTAGTTAAATAACGAACCCAAAACAAAGAACTTACCTGTAAGGGACTTGGTGGAACTGAAGCCTGCAGACCCTATGATCACTTCACACTCACTAAGAACACTCGATTTGTTAATAAAACTATTTTCTTTAGCCCTTCAGTTAAACACATATTACATGTCAATAACTCTTATCTTAGTGTCTGTAAATCAACTTAAAACTATTATTTACACAAGCGATTAGCGACATGTCTCAATGGCCGCCTCTAAACTCTAGTTGCCAAAAGTTCCCTAGATAAGCCCTCAAAATTTCCCTGTTTGTCGCAGAATTGTCGTAAATTAATTTTGCTATACTGTATATTTATAAGTAATATATAAACATATGTAATTTATTTTTAAGAAATAAATTATTTAACACAAACAGAAAGTATTATAGCCAAAGTAACAGTTATAAATAAGCACGTACTCACTCTTGTGTTCTGTTCTTGTTGAAGATCTCTAGCTTTATAAATTTGCAGAATCCAAGATGCACCTTCGATATAAAGTCAAGACATCTTAATCTGAGTGTTGCAATAGTTGTTTGTCGTCGATGTCATGACTGAAATAGGTTTTGCATTGGCAGAGGTCAGATTTCTCTAGATTTGGGCGTGTTATATGTTGAACACGTTTCTTCCCTATAAGCCTTGGAAATACCCCAAAACACTGAGACCGTGACGTCATAGTCGTCTGCCGCAGTGATTGGCAGGTTTTCGGAATGAGTTGTTTCAATATTAACATAAACAACATTACGATGTATACACTGGATTTGTGTGGACATGAGCATAATATTTATTCTTATAAAGATAATAGTAAAAATATATACAGAATTTTACTTATTGAAAATGTTTATCTCTAAACCAGAGTGAGAAGCAAGTGCCTAACGGCCTGTTTACGGTAATTACATCTAAATATTAGTACACACGCTTTATTATTTTGAGAAACTAATTAGATCTTGAGTCAGCGGAAGATGTAGAGAAAATACAAGAATATTATTAATTCTCAAGGTAATGTAGACGGTTCTACAGAGTTAATTAAAGGCTTGTAAGTTGCGTCCTTATCATTCTCCAGTAGTCAGTGAATTGTTTCCTAGATAAGCAAGTGTTGTGACTGCTGACGTTGATCAAAGTGGTGGCAGAGCTCACAGTGTGTGCAGGCATAACATCACGAATCTAATCTATGTTATACACCTTACTAATGGCATATATAAGTTTCTCCATGTACGCCACCGAGCTTAACGTATGCAAAGGCTTTTTCAGGAACTATCGCCGCATATCAGTCCTCCCAACCTTAAGTAAGATACTCAAGAAGCTGGCATGTAGAATAATAAACTCCTTCTGCACTGACAATAACATCCAGTTTGGTGTTTGGGCAAGAAGGTAACCCAGTGACATTTTTAACTCCTTTGTTGGTAGTCAGTTCACAGTCGAAGTATTTCTGGACTCTCAATAGCCTTTGATACCGTCCACAATACCACCCTACTATGATGTACTATCCAACAAATGGTTTGCTTCACACGTCTGCTATAACGATCATCAATTTGACTCCTCACATATTTTGTAAGGCATTCCACAAGGCTCTATTCTTGGACCAGTACTGTTGATGTATATAAATGATACAGTCCATTCTAGCACACTCGTAAAATATATTTTATTTTCATATGATAATAATCTGCATGTCAGTCACGTACAGTAGATCTTCATTGTTTAATAAGAAATATGAAGTGTGAATAAACTAAAGTCAGGAACTGAATAATGTGAAATCAATAGCCCTGAATCTTGAACAAACTCACTATACTACAATCTTTCACAGAAGAAAAAGTTTACCCTGACATCTTGACTCCCTTTACCTTGGCAGTACATCCTCAAACGTGAATAGAATACTAAATTCGTTGTGGTTGTGGCTGATGAACACCTCAGCTGGAGAAACCACATACAAGCCATTCACAGTAATATCAATAAACAGTGCGGTATCCTGTACAACACTCGTCAGTCAGTCACTTGCCGCAAAACAATATTCTACCAACACTTGATTCAATGCCATATACTGTAGGGGGGGGGGGGGGCTCTGGTTACTGCCCATCGTTTTATCATCTGAGGATATTAATACTTACTGCTGTCCTGTATCTATTTATGAATCATTTAACCACTTGGCTGAGAAAAGCAAACCCCCCACCCATCCCAGCAAAGACGCCATCCACTTCCCTTCTTTTTTTCTTTTAATAATCTCTTAAAAGATGCTTACTGTTGGAATATTGAAATGATTGGAACACTTACTTTTTTACTGTTCCACAAAACTGATATGGTGATAAGAATTGCTCTCTGACAAAACCCAAGTTGTGTTACGGTCACTCACGTATCAGCTTACTGTACACCATTAACTATACTAAAAAAAAGAAGATAAATAAATACAAAATACAAAAAAATAAGTCCAATATTTATTTACTAACACCTGAAGCATGTTGTAATCCAGATGACACTTAATATTAAATCATGACTTCATGGAGATAAATGTAAAGCATTTTTCAAGTACCACTAAGAGTGCATTGGCCCTCACTTGTTCACTTTGCATCTGTATTTTTCGGTCTATATATAATGTTTAAATCAATCAATAAAAAAACATGAGTGTGAAGGTTTGACCCAGTGACGAGGATGCTGTTACTCCTCCTTAAGTATGTTTAGGCGAAAGAACATTTGTTATAACTCTAATAGTAAAGAGTTAATGACTTAAGAACGCGATATGTAGGTCATACATAAAGGGGAGTCAGTGGGGTGTACTGGCTGGGTGTATCATCCCCGTGTTGGGCGGGGCTTCCGTGATAAGTGTTGGGGTGGGGGGGACACTGTGGTGGGGAGCCTTGCCTCGCCCCGCCGTTGCCCACACCACTAGCGAACATATCCAAATTACTGTATAAGTTCTAGCCCGAGCTCCCTAAACTCTTAATGAAGAGTTTTTATGTATGAGTCAATCATTTCAAGAGACACGTACTGTAAATCTCAAGTACTTCACATGATGACTTTTCGACACCAACCACTATCCTCTACCAATCATTTTGACATCACGCAGAATTTCTCTGGTCAGTGAAGGAGCGGGAGGCTGTTAAAACTCTCGTAATACGTCACATTTCAGTCTCCAGAGAGCAGAGGAATGAACATGAGCCAGTAGAGGGTCACCAGGGAGAGAGGCACCAGTGCACCCTGGGATTTTCACCCGGAGCAACATCCGTTTCACTTGTCCTGGGAACTAAGTTTTTCACCTAGACGGCCAGGATAATTATGTGGGTGAAATGTTCTGGATAAAGTGTTATGATGGATGGTATTAATGTTTGGTATTTAGATAGGCTTAGTACAGATAACGAACGGTATCTGTGATATCCCTGTATATGACGTTATCTGGGGCACAAGTCTAGTATCACGAGGTCACTGTCTGCTCCTACACTGTGGATACTGAACACTTTATGTAACATTGATGGGATAGAGAATATGAAATTATTAAACACGAATCCTGGAGAGATACACGAGACTTGGGGGAAACTGCCTGAATCACTTGACTGATTTACTACAAATTCAGACCCTAAACACCGCTCTGACGTAACAGGGTAGAGAACCATGTTATTATCCGGGCACCAGACTGTACCGCCCACTGCCCTAGTCGCCACACTCACCCACAACATTTTACATGAACGTTACACCAATAATACATAACTTAATATACTTACATCTAAATAATTTCAGGCATGATAGGTGTTTAATATTTTTTTATTTTTTTATTTTTGGTGGTGATGTAGGGGGAGAGGATAAGACTGTAGAGGTGGTAGTGTTGGGTGACACTAACTCTGCCAGTGTCAACCAACTCACTAGTCATGGTTGTAACGGTTGCCGCGCGCCCCCCTTTGTTGGCCCCCGTGTGCGTTTAGGTGGAGGACCCCTACCTACCCCCTCACCGCCGCCGCCGACGCCCCCTCACACGCCCCCTACCCCCGCTAACCCCCCATTCCCCTCCTCCCCCCAACCATCCTCTTCGACCCCTGCGCGACGCCCCCGGCCATGGTGGGTAGGTATCGCGTAGTATTTCCTTATTTGTTTGTTTCAGCTGGTATCAGTTTATATTTCATGGGCGGCCTCCATGACTCGTGCATCAGTTCCCCTCACGTGTCACAGTGTTGTTTACCAACGCGAACAAGGACCGGATTTAAAGTCCAACAATTCCCTGCCCGTAATATGTCAACGCTCTGGGAACGAAATGTTGCCAGTTCCTTCTCAAAACTCCAGACGTGATTCCTTTAACAACTAATATGTGTTTTACAGCGATTTTATATAGTAATACCATGTTGGATATTTTATTAGCATTGTTTTATAAGCGGTGACACTATTAAGATCAAAGCTGAACAATAAAATGAGAAATATATTGGTGTGAGCGGTGTCTGGTTCAGAGGGTTCCCCGCTCGACTAAAGCAAAGCGCGAAACCACCAGCCAGTGTGTAGTCGCCCCTTAACTCACACTGGCGTGGTGACTGGAGAGCTATAATATTATAAACTGGATTACTCTTGTTAGTGAGGATACTTATAAGGACACAATACAAGGTAAGACAGTGCATTATTTCTGTTGAAGTGATCTGTTTCTCCCTCTTCTCACCCTCACTTCAAGTTGGTGTGGGTACACTGAAAATGAAAGTGTTCACAGTCCTACTACACATTCCGTGTACCAAACATGTGCGTGGTTACATGTCTACATACATATCAACTACCTCATACACATCAGTTACGTAAGCTCGGCTTTACAGAGATCACAAAGCATCAAGATTACAATAGATCCAAGTGAACGAAGACCAAAATAATGGGTGTGAGGCAGAAGTACACAAGGACAGTAAGCTGGGTCCACGCTTGTTCCTTGTTGTACCCTCCACAGTACGTCATGTTAAGGATATCTTTTGAACAATAACAATACCTTTAAGACCATCACCATCTCCTACTGCCAATATGACGATGGCATTGATAGTTGTGTGGTAGTGAAGAGGTACGCAGTATGCGCCTGGCAGTGGTGTTACCATTACTGGATTTCTCTCCCGACGATCAACCACTTGTGGATCCCAGAGCGTTAACAAGACTCGCTTTTTATCCTTTCTCGGGCCAGGAGAGCTCTCAGCTGGCGTTACGTAAATGTTGAACTGTGAGGCTTTATTTCTCACTCCATTTATCTTATCCATTTATTAGTATTAAATAACTCCTCAGACCAAATAAGTAACCAAATTTACACACTAAACGTTTTATATTTTGTGGGGATTCACTAACATTTATTTTGCAATTAGTGTAAAGTGTTGGTGAAATTGAAGGGAAGATGAAGCTGGGAATCAATAATAAATGGGTAAAATGTACACGACTAAAAGAAAAGCTTCTCTTGTTCACGATGTTCACAAAGGAAGAGGAGGAAGGCGGTAAACTATCACGTGTGTGTGTGTCTTGTACCACTAAGTTAAAGCCAGTTTGTATTGTTATGTTTTTATATACAGACGGACACACATCCACACACACACACACCCACACACACACACACACACACACACACACATCTAACTTTTAGCTACGTACCGGTCTTGGTGATTTATGTATTCATTTCGTTATTTAGTTTTGTAAAGCTACTTGTCTTAGAATCAAGGAGATAATAAAGTGACGAAAATAAGTGAGAAAACGTCACCTACCTCACCTCACATCACCTATTCGAAATTACGACTTTTCTTGTTATTTTTCCTGGTCACTTTGTCTCACGAGGCACGACTACGATTTCCTGTTGTGAAGAAATTTTCCTAGTCTTAATACGTTTTATTCACTGCATCCACAATCAGACTTAATTAAACAGTGATTAACAGCCACGTAAACAGATATCATGTCAGTTAACAAATAGACTGTATTTATTATTTTATGGCTTAGTACTTGATCATGAAATCATTCTGTCGAAAATGTGCCAAAATATCACATAAATAAACGGAAAATATTGTAATGAAGTGAAGTAGATTAATAATATCGTGTTGATTGATTCATATCCGTCATAATTCCACCAAATTTTCTCCTATGTTGATGTACTGTATAATCGCTAGTACACTGAAACACCACCTATTATATGAAGTCTGTTATTATAGCTTATTTATACAGGGATAGTTGTGAACTTAGTCAAATACAAAGAAATTAATTACTGTACCACACGAAACAAAATGTGTGAACAACCGAACCGACTTCAACGCCCCCCCCCCCCCAATAGTGGTAGGGGAGTTAATCTTTAGGTGAAATAAACTGGGGTGGAGATTCTTTATATTCCTATGGGGCGCTGCCTTGTATATAGTGTACACACGTTCACTTACCCCTGTACACATAACTAAACTATATTACTACAATTTTTTATCACGAGTCTTTCAGGTACATTGAGCACTTCCACATTTCCTTATTTCAACCACCCACCTCCTGTTCTTCTGTGTCTTTGTTAGTGTATTTTACCTCAGGGATGGAGGTGAGGACATCCTGAGCCAGTGTTGGTCTCTTCCTGACCACTTCACCTCACTCACTTCTGGTCTTAACAATAATATCTTACAGGGTGTTGAGTTCTCGCCCATGCCTTTCTTTTTGTGTTGTTCCTCATGTATATACAGTATATATATATATATATATATATATATATATATATATATATATATATATATATATATATATATATATATATATATATATATATATACGTGTGTGTGTGGTCCCATTTCGTTGATACACCTCCGGTAGTGAGTTGCCGGAAGTTGGGGGGGGGGGTCTCTGCCCCCTCACTCTTACCCCGCCAGCTGTCGAACTTGTGTTTTCTGGTTCTGGAACAATCTGGTTATGACGCCTTACATATATATATACTGTATATATATATACTATATATATATATATATATATATATATATATATATATATATATATATATATATATATATATATATATATATATATATATATATATATATATATATATAGATAGATAGATCCATATAAAATCGAATATTTTGGAATAATCGTCAAAGATCATCTCCAGATTTCTCTATATGGTCACCATTCGTCAGTGTACACGAGACACACCACCAGAGTATTGCTGCCGAATGATGGATAGGTGGAAAACCAATAAATGTAAATTAAAAAGGAATATTAAACGAAATATCTGATCCAATTGAAATTTTGTGCGAAGTTATCTCAGCGTGTTAGTAAACCATGACGGTATAAAGAAATGTGGAGGTGGTCACCTGCAGTACATTTGTGTATGTAACTATATAATACAGCAGTTTTGAAGGTAGTAAGTTGAATTTGTCATGTAGATGTTTTTCGTACACCCCAGGGGTGTCACGAAGGTGGAATTGTTTCTTTGCTATGCACGGCCAAGATAGTGATGGGGTAAAGTTGAAACAGTAGATGTATTGAGGAGAAAGTATGGTTGGAAATTATCCCCCATGTTAGAAAGTGTTCGTGTTCGAGTTATGAAAACATGATGTACTACAAGTCTGAATCCTTCCTGATGTCGAGGGGCAGTGAGATCAAAGCTGAGAGATTTTGACAATGTGTGTCTGTGTAGATGTTGTCATGGCCCGGTGAGTGGAGTAAGAGGGGAGATCCTGTGTGAATATGTATTCTGTTGTGTAACAAAGAATGTATAGGCAAACACATCCCTGAGATAGCCTAGTGTAGATGGGGGGAAATAGCTGATATATGGTGGCGGGTAAAAGAGAGCAACACAGATCGTGTAGGCTTGACAGAAGCTTCGTGCTGAGTTACATCAAAAGGTATTATATAAAAAAAAAGTTTACTACAATACTAAAGAACTCACTAAGTTATAGACCAGATTTTGAGTATCGAGAGAAGGGAATGAATGTACACAGTGGTATGTCTCAGCAAAACATCGTAGCACTGTGTTCGAGATGGACTGATATCTTTAAAGATTAGAGGAAAATAGAGGACAAACTCTTTATTTCATGTCATTGACGAAAGATGAGGTTTGAAAGGGGACGGAATATATATATCCCTTTAGATATGGGTTGTGTACTGTAGTTAGTGACGGTAGTGGGAAACTAAGTAGACTATTTGCAAACACAGAATTTAAGGCTGGATGTTATTGGATTGTTTTGCTGGATTGGGAAAGGGAAGTGACTTTAGCTTTTCTTTGGGATGTAAATGTTGAGTAAACCACCACCTCCCCTGACCGACCCTGCTGGAGACCACGCTAAGATCCTCCGTGTCTGGCCGCCGACAGTGTTGTTCTTTGGCTGGGCTGAGGGTGTATCAACATTTGTCTTCGTCTTGGTAAATTTATGACCAACGAGTGTCAAGGCTGGAGTGGAGTCATATATCGAGCGTATGTAAAGTAAGTCGCTGATCATGAATATGCATGTGACTTCTTCTCTTGCACTTATAAGGATTACTCTCGTGTACAGACCCGGGAGGAGGTGGATCATCGTCATCATCACCTGAGGGTTTATTAGAACGTCACGCTGTAGTAGAACCAAACGCCAACTGAGGTCTGAACGCCGTAACCTAAATATCGACTGTGAATCATTGTTGTAAAACTGTCAAGTGAGAAACATTATACTTCAAGGTGTAACACTATTAGTAAGAGTCATACACTATTATCTCGACGCTACACTAAGCTCTACAACACCAGCTATAGCCCGAGAAGTCTTCTGACTGTCTTCCTGAACATGGGGCGTGAGAACTCAGGGTTATAGTGCTTGCTGCAGCCGGCGAGCTCGGGCAGGGCGAGTCAGCCGTCCAGTGGTGTTTATTAGTTTTGAGGAATGCGCTTATAACAAGCTGCTGGGACCTGTACAGCTACCAAACCTTTATTGCACCTCTTAGCGGAGTGAGCGCTGGTGGTTCATGAGTTGACATTGTTTACTTATACAGTAAACTAAGTCAGGACTTGCTGTTGTTTGTTACTAAAGTTTTGAGCGCGGCCAAGTGGGTAATTATTGTAAATTATTTTTTTCATAATTTTTTTATATTACTCGTTGCTGTTTTAGTTTCCGTGAGTTTTACTTTGATATAATTTCATTGTTTTAATTTTCACTTTGGTTTAAACTTGTGATAATTTGGTATAACTGTATTCAATCACAAGTTGACTTTTAAATGAGGAGTTGGTGTGACTTGTCGTAGTTTTGAGTGAGAGGCAGAGCGTGTCAGTGTCAACGTGACTATAGTGCGGTCAGTCAGTCTGCTACCAATGTTATTCCTATAAGAGAGGCTGTGAAGGACAAGTCTTGTTTGGACACCCTTACCTCCCTTTCTTCTTTCTTCATCCTTCTTTTCCTCCGTCATTTATCTCCTCCATCATCTTTCTTCTTCATCCTCCTTCTTCCTCATTCTTTTCCCTTACCCTTCCCATCCGTTATCCAATTATTTTGTTTTGCATCTCCATTCATCCCTTCCCCTCGCTATCTTACCCTTCCCCTCGCTATCTTACTCCGTTACCGCGCCCCGTCACCCTGGTCAAGTTACAGTGTGCGGCGCAAGGAACTGGGAGCTGGGGAAGTGGTGTGGGTCCCAAGCGGCTTCCTCGAGGTATAAGAGGAAAT